AGTGACAGTTTTAAACTCCAGTCTTCAGACACAGAGAATTAAAACTGTAATGTGCAAGTGAACTAATGATGTGAATTGCTGGTCCAATTTTAAGCGTTTGTGTGTGCTGAAGTGTGTTTCCCATACCGAAGTCTCTTACAGTGATATGAAGTTATTCTTATGAAAGTTTTTAACTAGGACTTTAGAAAATTAGCATGACAAAGATGAAAAAACAATTCAGTTCTTGTAATGTATAAGAAGTATAGACTCATCTATTATGAGACACATTTGCACGTACACCTTCTGACAAATGACTGAACATCCATCCAAGCATATGCTTCAGAGCAGCTAAATAATGGAGATCAAGAAACTTAAAGCTTACTAATGAGAAGTATCTGCTCAGTTTAAGTGCAATCCAGCAGATCCATCTCATATTTGAATTTTTTGCTGCGAGAGTTCAAATTACACAATATACCAGTAGAAACAGAGTCCCATTACTGTGTTTGCGTCTCTAATAGTAAGGGCAAATCCAGTACACATGGAGCTTTCAATTTTTTTTGGCAGCAGTGGGAACTTGGACTGCTCATTCCTACCCCATTACATTGTACTGGCACCTCTCCACAGTACCAGCACAAGTTTTTCCTGCCAAGTTATTTTTAACCAGGATCAGCCCCCAAAGTTCGATGCAACATATGGTCTGCAAACACTGCTGTAACTAAGAAAATGGTGTAGAATGAACAACAGGGGCTCCTTAAGCTGGGTCTACTGCTATAAGAAACAGTTCTCAAACAGTAACTTCAGATTTCGAGCAGCAAAACAAGTTAGAACGCCCAACAGATTAGCGGCTCTCGCATTGTGTGTTTGTTTTATGCTAACGTATATCTTAAGAGATAATTCTAGACTAACAAACCTTTTAGAAATGCTAAATAACTTTCATACCTCAATGCACATTAGTCTGCAAGGTCAAGCTATACAGTCAAGCTTAAGAGTTTTTGTGTAGATCAAGTCGCAGAAACTGAAGCATAAAAAAACCCAATAAACTTCAAATTCTGCTGCATGGAAGAAAAAGGATTAATTTAAAATCTGAGGTGTGAGATGAGGGAAAAGGAATATGGTAAAAGCTTAAGATTTTCCTTTATCTTAGTCCCCAGCTGTCTTACCTTCTCCTAAAATAAAAATCGGAAAGAAAAATGTTTTGCAGAGTGGTATACCAAGCTAGTAAATACTTACTTCTGTGCTAATGCTGCATGAATTCTTCGATACATATAACACTCTACATATAACCAAGGGGACTGAAACCAACTCGGTCCTCCATTTCCATTTGATAAATTTCGTTGGTAGTCTAGGTATTGGTTCCACAGTGCAGCATCAGGCAGCTCATCTTCTAAAGGGGTCACTGGTTTGTCTGTTTGCAGTTCATTCCGCAGTTTGGAAAGGAAAGATATAGCTCTCTTCTCTGCTTCAACACCCTTCTGAAATAAGTGGAGAACAAAAGTTCCTATTCTGAACATTTATTCCTGTAGAGACACAGATCAGTTTTTCATGAAAGATGCAGGGGGTAAGTTTTAATTGCTAAATACGAGTCCCCGACAAATCAGAGCTTGATTCAACCAAACAAATTTTTCGTGAATGAAACTCATTTTACACCTAACATTCTAAAATGAATGGCGCACAGGACTTCTTTTTAGATTGGACTTTTTCCTTATTAGAGGGCAACAGAGTATTTAAACACTGCCACATTCAGAAGATGCCATAGTCTATTAAACACTGCATCAACACAAAAACCTGAGAAAGTGAAGCCGTTGCAGAACAGATAGATCAGAAAAAGGTTAGACAGAAAGGTGAGTTACAAAATTAATGAAAAATAGCTATAAGAAAGAGATGATAAAGAAAAAAAACAGCAGATGAAAAGATTAAGACAGACAGGTAATGACTGTAGTAAGAAATGAGTACAAACAAGGCAGAGAAGAGCTCTCAAGAGTTGGAGGGGTGGGGGGGGGAATCTCAGGCAGAAAGAGATCTTACTCTTACCTCCCCATGTTCTTCAAAGAATTCATTTTTATGTCGATGCAGAGTATCAATAACTCTTGTGAGGATTTGGGGCAGTCTGTCCTTAATTGTAAAATATGCAAAGGATCTAAAAAGAAGAGAATCAAAACGTTATTACTGAGAGGAAATGATGAAATACTTTCTATTTTTTTAAATAAATGCAAGGTCTTTGTCCTGGTTTTGGCTGGGATAGAGTTAATTTTCTTCATAGTAGCTGGCATGGGGCTGTTTTGGATTTGCGCTGAAAACAGTGTTGATAGCTCAGGGATGTTTTTGTTACTGCTGAGCAGTGCTTACACAGCATCAAATCCTCTTCTGCTCTTCACCCCACCCCACCAGCAAGCAGGCGGGGGGGGGGGGGGGGGAACAA